TCTGTTGTTTTCTTCGGCGTGTTTCGTGATGTAATCAAGGTCCAACTTGGATGAAGTTTCGTCGTCGCCGATCGCAGAGTCGTGGCCACTGTGTGCTGGGCTGTAGTTGCCGCGTGTAGAATCGTTGTCGTCTTCTGTGTTTTGTTCAGACGCAATTCCTTTCATTTGGGAATGTATGGTTGCGGCTGTCACTTTTGCCCAGTCTTCACAGACGTGCACGGGTTCTGGTGCATTGGCGAGTTGTCCTCCTTCTTCCTCTTCTTCTGCATAGAGTTGATTTTGCACCGTTTCTGCGTATTCGTGGTCTCTTTCTTCTTGAATTTTGAGCTCATCGTCTGTCAACTCGACTGCCATTTCAGCATCTGCGGCATCGGCTATTTTCTCTGCATGCTGAACTTCCTGCTTTTCTCGATATGCCCTAGCTGTTTTTACCTGCCCAACGTTTCTGTACCCTCCAGCGTCGTCGATTTTCACAGCCGAAACCGTGTTGGCGTTGTCATTTTGGGTCTGTTCGGCTGGCTTCATGTATTCAGCTTGTTCCCTTGTAGGAACGCCGCGAATGGGACCTAGGCTTTCGAAGCATGCGCCGGAACCGTAATACTGTACTTGCAATCTGCTTCGCATAGTTTGGTATTGCTCCCACAGACTTGTTTGAGGAGGCTCTGGATGCACATGTGCCTTGAAGTTTCCTTGGGGATCTAATAGGATGGATTGGCCAGCGTGAGAGCGACCTCTTGGGGATATGTCTCCAGTGACTGCTGTGACTGCTGCGACTGCTTGCTTGCTCGAGTCTTCGCAATTCTCTTTGCCATGTTGAGCCTCCAAATTACTCTGGGTGATCTCTGGTTGCTCCTCACCCTTGTTCTTTCGAATTTGGGCATGCGACTGCACCATTTCAGCCACATTTTGTGAGATCTCACCAGTCGTGACCTTCGATATGCTAAATGCATCCTCGCGGTACAATTGCGTATGCCTTTTCGGTTTGTCGTTCGTTATCGAGTTGTCGACCGGAAGATTACACTGTGTAGCTTCGCCGCCAGAAGATCCAGTCACAAGACTCAACCGGATGGCTTCTTCCAGCTCGGGATCAGCATCCATATCAACGTCGGGGGGTGCTGATTGCTCTGAGGCCTTTTGGTCTGCGTAGTGAAAGTCTATGGCGTTATTTACATTGTAATCATAATATTTAAGCTTCTTCTCGGCCTCTTCGAAGTCGACGCCGGTGATGCTGCAGAAATCCTGTATCGCATCAAGCTCAAGTTTCCGAACTGTCGTCGTTGTCTCGCTTCTGCTCAGCGATTCAGACTTCTCTTGGTTTAGTGGTGTATGCTCGTCCTGTTGCATCGGTATATGCTCCTCTTGTTTGATCGGCGTATGCTGAACCTGTACCTGAGGCGACTTCGGAGACATCGTCGGAGATCTGGACGTATCAGCTGCGTCAATGGGTTTTGTGATTTCATATTGTATCTGTTTGATCAGATCATCCCTCTCTGTGATGACCAAGGCCCTTTTGTTTGCAAAAGCTTTGTCGTCTGGAACCTCTGGGTTGTCGGGGCTGCACAAGTAGTCAAACTCATCGATGAGTTTCGCAAAGTAACCGAGAAGGCGAGTTTGCTCGTCTGAAAGTTTGTGTTGGCGCAGTCGCACCCGCCGGCCATGCAGTTCGTTTTCGACAAAGTAGAGGATCTCGTCATCATCATCCTGTTTCTTGAGTAACTCCAGATTCATCTCGATAGCGATGCTTTTTGCTTCCTGGCTTGTCCTCCGGCCCGCGATAATAGCGTTTGCTCCCCATCTTTCCTCAGTAATCGGGTATTCTGTCAGATTGGTGGCAGTTGCTAAAAACTTCTCGAGCAATTGTAGGGATCTGGCGTCAAATGTCATCTTGTTCCACGCCAGTCTTGCTGTCTCAAACATGCACGACCAGCGAATCTTGTTATGCCTTTCCGGATTCTTGCGCACCCTTTGGAATCTGTTCCAACAAATCGGCTGAACCCTCTGGCCATTCTCTACGATTGTTTTTCCGAGTAGGGATATAACCGACGCAAGGATTGGGCCGTTGTACTACGAGGCATATGATCAGTGTGGTTTCGATCGCAAAGCAATACTTGGCTCAACATACCGCGTTTCCCCCATGCAAGCCGGAGTGAAACTTTGCAAGATTTGCGTGCCCGTATATGCAGTACGCAAAGTCGTGTGGTGTACACAAAAAGTTGCGGATGTAAACGATGCAGCATGTGGCTCTAGTGTCGACTTCGTCAAGAGGTCCCTCATAGGCTTCGATCTCATCGCTGCGGTAGGGTGAGTGAAGCCACTCTGTACGCAGTCTATTGAAATTGTTTGATCCGCGGTTTCCGGTACTGCGCCTATTAGTCGGTGCTTGCAATTGCAACAACTGCATTACTCATGAATCCATATGTTGCACAACCCCTAGTTGAATGCTTCTTCGGTCTCTCGTGCCTCTGTCCATTGAGATGGGAACCTGCCAGTTGACTCGGGCGGCACCGTCATAGTTATGAAGGATATCTCGGCGATTGTAAGTGATGGTAACACAGCGATGGTCGTAACGAGATAGCTGAGGCGAATAACGATAGCAAACTGGGAACTCTGGAGAGAGTGGCTGCGGCGAAAGAAACCTTGGGGAGTAAGCAAGAAGCCCTGGAGGTACACATCAACACACACATGACTAAAGCCCTTAACTGCTTTGGTGAGGAAGGCATGATCAGCATTCGTGGGCTAGGTACTGCGAAGGCAACGACAGTCTTCCATCCCAACGCCGCAGCCCTCAATGTTCCTTCATAATCTTCTCGTCTCCAATCCGCTGAGTGAAGGTGACCGTTCTATCCTTGATCCTCCAGACTCCGCTTGCGCCGCGCACACCATCGAAATCGCTGTTCTTCGTTTCCAGTATTACCATGTCGTCCACGTACTTGCCATACGCGCATAGCATCTTGCCCTCGTGAGGACCTTGTCCAAACTGTAAGACTTAGTACTCCACTTTAAGCATCGGCTAAAGACTTATCTGTATGCGACACGCCGAAACGACACGCGATTCAAGCACATGTACGAGGCTTTGAAGGCATGTTCATTGCACCGAACAAGGTACTGAGGTAGGCTACTTACGTGTACACCCTGGAAGTATGTCACCACCCGTGCCGTCTGCGCATCGGACCTAAATGTGATGGTCTGCGTCGTGAGGTTGTGATGTGTGCGGATTGGTCCAAGACTGTGTATTGTCAGACGTCAAATTGTTCCTTGCTGATCTATGGAGGATAGATCTACCGATTCTTGATTGCATCCTTCAGCTCATCAAGGCTCTGGATAGCTTTATTGAAGGGATAACTAGCTTCAACATCAGGTACGAAGACTTTGCTCAGCAGATCGAAGTCCTTCAGATCCAGAGCCTGGCAGTATCGCGACACAACATTCTCGATGGCCAAGACATCCAGTGGATTAATTTCAGACATGGCGGGCGATATCTTTCGAGCATCTGGCCCACAGAACAGGAAAGTGTTCAAGGATTATAACCTGCTTCTCTCGGAACCCCGCTTTACAGAGCCGGAGCCTGTAGAGAGGGCGGTAGAGTCGGTTTCTACTTTTGGTTCAGTACCAAGCATTGTTGCGGAATGTTTGATGCATTCGCGGTCCAGACGTACTGTCTCTGTGTGTCGTTACATCACCCTACCCTATATACATAACCAAGATTCATATGGAGGAGATGTGTATAGCGCTGGCGGCAGGTCATCATGTCACTGCGGAGCTCCAGAAAGTAACAAGAACAGGCAGCAACTCTCCAGAAGCTCATACTGATTATCGTAAAGGGTTGCCATCGTAAAGTCCACCTGGGCAACGAAGGACGCAGACGCAGAAGAGCAAAAGGGGTGGGGGTCTTACGGCCAGTTCTGATTGGGCAAAGTGACCCACTTACCGTATACAGCAGGTTCGAGACAACTGTAGATAGCAGCGCCAGAAGATGGAGGGAGAATGATTTCCAACCCAACACCATTTCCATCTCAACATGATGTTCGTGCCAACATGCCATCAACATCATGTCCACCGTACCATCGTTTAGTAGTTATAACGGCTTTCCAGCCGATTTCAGACGACTTCTATCTGCTAGAGTAGTTCTCACCATGTGAACAAGAAAAGGTTGGCCATTCACTCTCGAAATCTCAAAAGGTTTTGTTGAGCCTGACGCTGTTTCACTCAAGTCGCCAGAATCAACAGCCCCAGTCCACAATTATCCAATGGGGGAGTTCGAGCAATGATGTAATGCCGCACTTGGCAATATCTGGTCTGATTTGGCTCTTTGTCGTACACGGCAACTTTCTCATTTTCCCAACCTCCTCACGATCCCTACACTGTGTCCTTGCGCCTATGCAACCATTGATACATACGGGCCTACGAGCCATACCAGATTAGGTGATAACTCAGGCTCGTCCCGACCCATCCATGTCAAAGACGCCGTTAGGATTCCCGCATGCCGCCTGCATATTGCCCCAACCGACCCCTCAGAGCATATGAATGAAGCGCAATGTGCGCGCATTCGCTTGAGCTGCATTTACAGCCCTGGAACAGTCCTAGCTAATCAGCCAAGGTTGTTTTGTAAGCAGATTTTTGATTACTTCGCAGCTGTTCAGACAGGTGTTCTACTTGATTCGGCGGAGGCGCTCAATATGTTCACACGCGCCGAACGTAGGCATCCACCACAGCGCGAATACGATAGGATTGGCCTATCACAGCGTTGCCGCTGCAACGACAGGCATACACCAGAAGGACGACTTTTTATGTGTTTGCATTTTGCATGCAGCTATGGCATGGGTTTACCCCTCATGAAAGGCGAAGAACATGCAACCACCGCAAGGTGGGTGGCGGAGATGAGTCCTGTCGAGCAACATAGCTATCTCTGACGCCCTACTTTACTTCCATTTCTCTATTCTGTTCTCTTCATTCCATTCATCAACAGTTTGTACCCGCAAGTCGTGGGTATGATGGCGATAATGGATACAGCAGCAGGCCTTGCTACAAAGGCTTTCAACGCGAGTCTTGTCACGCTTGTAATACTCTCAACAGCAGTACTATGTCGGATCTTTTACATGCAGAAGCTGCATCCTCTTTCGAAGTTTCCAGGGCCTTGGTATGCGACCTCGTTCTCTGTCTTTGGTGCCATAGTCTCTGTATTGCACAAAGAGCCTGAGTTCTTTGTTTACCTAGTGGAGAAGTATGGAAGTAAGTGATGTCTGGCGTTTCTTGTACGGCTGCAGATTCTGATCACGAGCGTAGCGGATAGCCCAATTCGCATCTCTCCTACGATGCTGCTCTTTCCTAAGCCGTCGGCCCTCAAGGACATTTATCGAGATTCACAGTGCAACACAAGGGGCGGCATGTATAACAGTGGGGCTTTGGGGCCTCCGCATCTAGTCTCCACGATAGACGGCGAGACGCACCGTGTCTTGCGCAAAGCCTTATCGAACGCGCCATGGTCCATCGGCCCACTGAAGAATGCATGGGAATCTCGCTTCGATGACCAAATCTCTCTTCTTGTCGAGAAGATGAAAGAACATGCGGAGGCTAAGCGCACCATATGCCTCTCTGACAAAGTTGCAGAATTCGCGGCGGATATTCTCAGCATCATCTCATTTACGCAGCCTTTTGGCAGTGTCGAGAACCAGCGCGACGAGAAGTACCTACTGACCAACTGGCGCAAGGGCCTGACATTCTTCGGCTTCTCAGGAAGGTTTCGATTCTTCAGAGAAAGGGTTTTGCGACTGCCTGTTGTAGGGTCCTTGCTGTTACCAACTACCTCTAACGATTACGGCATGGGTTGGTTGATGGGCGAAGCGGATCGACAGGTTACCACGCGAGAGCAGCAGAATAAAGAGAAGCCGTTTGATGGAAGGCCAGACTTCCTACAGCAGTAAGTATCCGATGTGCGCCTCTAAACCTCTGGTCTGTACTCATCGCATTTAGCTGCCTTGATGCTCGTTACTCAGACGGCTCTCCACTGACTCCAACGCAAAAGCGTGCTCATGTTACACTTCTTTATCAAGCCGGAGCAGACACAACAGGTACAGCACTGGGATGTATCCTCCGGCTCATCTTGACAGACCCTTCCACGCTTGCACGTGTCCGCACAGAGCTTGATGCAGCAGATTCGGCCGGTCTTCTATCAACGCCAATTCGTTATGATGAGACTCTCCAGCATCTTCCGTTTTTTGTTGCCTGCATCAAAGAGGGTCTTCGGCTCTTCCCACCGGCACCCAACCTATTCCCTAGAGTGACGCCAAAGGGAGGTAAAGTCATCGATGGACACTATGTACCGGGTGGAATGGATGTCACCAGTCATGCATACATTATACAACGTGACAAAGGCTTCTACGGTCAGGATGCGGAAGAATTCAAGCCTGATATGTGGATGCAAAGCGAGAAGAAGAACTTCGAGCTGGAGGCGGCTCAGTTTACATTCGGTATCGGAGCCAGGATGTGTCTGGGCAAAGACGTCGCAAAGTTAGAGATGTATAAGCTGTTGCCGGAGGTAAGTCCTAAATACCAAACCGTTTAGAGATCTACTTTGCTAATCCATTAGATCATTCGTCGATTCGACGTCCACGTCATACAGTCCGGCAAGTATGTCGTCGATGGAGGAGTGGCCTACAATGTTGATTTTCTGGTTGAGTTGGCTGTTAGGAACTCGAAATAGTATATCCCGAGTATTTCCACGGAGGTTTCCAAGCCCATCTCTTTTGTCCTCAGCATTGCCGGGAGGAGTACCGGACGTGTACCGGGCGGGTAAAGAGGCTAAAAGGCCATGCTAAAAGAATCCTTTTCCCCGCCCACTTCGCAGATACCAAGCCCATCGGCCTTGCTTTAAACGATCTTTAATTTCTCCGAGATGTTTTGCATGGTGCACATGCGCTGTATACGCTCGTACCAGATCTGCCCGGTATGATCGCCACTATGGAAGACAACTATACTGTCATCACACTCTATAATACACATGTCAAGACGGGTATTTACATCGTACTTTGAGATCATTAGACGGAAAACCCGGTTGGCATCACCTAACAGCCGGGTTCACAGTTTAGCTATATAGAGTCACCCAACTCACCAGCATGCAGTTCACGATCATCACTCACGATGTATTTACCTACACTTAGCACTGTTCTTGCATTTGCTAGCATCGCCACATGTACTCCCCTTGATCCTCGGCAGCAAACAGCTACAGCACTCGATGCTGCTATGAAAGCGCGAGGCCGCTCATACATTGGCACTTCGTTGACGATCCGCAATGACAATACCGAGCAAAATATCATCCGCAGTGCGGAGTTTGGTTCTATTACGCCTGAGAATGCGATGAAGTGGGATGCTACAGAACCCAATCGCGGTCAATTCAACTGGGGAAACGCGGATGCTGTCGCGAACTTTGCGACGCAGAACGGAAAGCAGGTTAGTCCACTGTTATTGGATTGTGTGATTGCTCTGGGAGTATTGGGGCTGATAATTGATATAGATGCGCTGCCATACATTGGTCTGGTACAGTCAGTTGCCGAACTGGGTAAACCAGATCAACAACAATGCCACATTGATGAGTGTGATGGAGAACCACATCAAACAAGTCATGGGAAGATACAAGGGAAAATGCACCCACTGGGATGTTGTCAATGAAGGTTAGAAGACTAAACAAAACAAAACAACTACAAGAAAGCAGGGAACAATCAACTAATATCACAACAACAGCCCTCAACGAGGACGGCACAAACAGAGACAACGTCTTCCTCCGCGTAATCGGCGAGCAGTACCTTCCCATCGCCTTCCGCATGGCTGCCGCCGCCGATCCAGCCGCAAAGCTTTACTACAACGACTACAACCTTGAATACGGCACGGCCAAACATCTAGGCGCCCTCCGGATCGTGAAGCTCGTTCAATCCTGGGGCGCAAAGATTGACGGCGTGGGTCTACAGGGCCATCTAGTTTCGGAACCCACCGGCACCCAGAGCGAAGTCACACCGAGTGTAGCGGTGCTGACCAAGGTGCTACAGGATTATGCGAACCTGGGTGTTGACGTTGCGTACACGGAGTTGGATGTACGATCTCGCACACCGAGTAATGCGCAGAAGTTGGCGGATGCGGCGGCAGCTTGGGCGAGGGTTGCTCAGAGTTGTATCAATGTGCAGCGTTGCGTGGGCATGACGATCTGGGTAAGCTTCCTCTATCCAACTCACAACCTGTTCGACTTTGGAGATTATATGCTGACTTGTTGGGCTCTAGGGTATTGCGGATAGGTATTCTTGGGTTCCTGGTACTTTCAATGGAGAGGGGTCTGCGTTGCTATGGACGGATAACTTCCAGAAGAAGCCTGCTTATACAGCATTTTTGGATGTGTTGAATGGCAAAAATGTGACGACGGTGTAAACTGAGCAAAAGGCTTCTGAGTACTGCAAAGGGAAGAAGTGCTCGTATACATGGCTACTAGGTAACTCTAGTTTATATATCCTCTTCTACCATTCATACAACCTATTCCATCTTGACTCAAAGTCTTCATCCTAGTTCTTTCCTTCCTTCCCTTGCCGTCCCTTCTCTGCTCAACACCTCCATCTACGCCTTCTTACCAACCAGCCTGTCAAAATGCTCGAAGCAGAATTTCCCACCGACGAAACACGTTCCCATCCACTTCCACCATGCCGCACTCATGAAACCAACACCGTGCTCTTTCAGTCTCTTCATAAACATGGCCGTCTCAACGGCATGTGCACCATAGAGGAAGTAAAACAAGCCAGTCTGGATCCATCGACCAGCTGTAGCAACATTCTCCGGAAGCGGGGAATTGACGTTATAGGGCTTGAGGAAAGCTGGTGTAGGAGCAGCGCAGAGCGCCATAATAACGCCGCAAATAATGATAGGCTTGAGATGGGGTTGCGAAGGGGGTGTGTATGAGTTGTTGAGGTTTTTCGGCGCCATGATTGGTTATGACGTTTGTGACGTATTGGTGACTGAGAGCTTGTTGAATTTGGTTTTGGATGCTACTTGAGAGAGCCGTTTTGCGTTTGTGAAAACATGATGGTTTACAAATCAAATCCGCAAAGATGCCGAGGTACGCGCCTTTTGTCGCCAAGCCTGATTACCTCCTCCACAGCACTGTCGCTATCAACGAGTCATCATAATCGACGTTCTAGCTGAACATTCACTGCCTGTCTCATACTCGAGCTCCGTGCTTTAGTTACAAGGTCAGAACACCAAGCTCATGGGTCCTTTACCGAGCATGACCGGTTCAACTACTCAGAGTGGGGGCAGTTTCCACATACGGCAGGCTGACATTTCGACTGTAGATTACTGGAACGGCTGCAAACGTGTACTTAGCTTGGTGACTATGCAGTAGATTGCGATCACATGAAGCGCTAAAGATTCTCTTTGGGGGCTTCGGACGCGGCGTTGAGAGTAGTGGGTTGCTAGGAGTTGGGGCCGTTCATGCAGCCGTGTGGCACGGGGTCGAAGCGGGAGAACTTTGGAAAGGGGAGATGGTAGCGAGGGCTAGGGACGGCGCGAGGCTCTGCCACAATTGTGCCGAACGTCAAGTTCTGAATCGTCGATAGCGGATGTTGAGTTGTCGTGCCCTCTTTGCTCGCATTTGGGTGAAGAGAGGATGTGAAGTCAAGAAGGAACCGGTTTTGTTGAGAGTTTGGTACTGTTATGCGCCAGCGCCCGGTGCGGAGCCGCAGAACGTCTTCTATATCACAACGCTGTCATGATTATACATATTAAAGCATGCTATAGAACCTTCCCATATCCTGTTCCTCCACAAGAATCGACATCGTTTCATTTCCGAGTCATTGCACTTGTCCATTGCAGCAAATACGTCGGCGTACAATAGCGCTGCCACTTCCACCAACCTAATCTAACCAAACTTTACCCCACCAAACTACCTTCGTACCTTGCTGCGCCTCCAAGATCTCACTTTCCCTAATCCTCTCACACTTTTTCTTTTAACCTACACCGTTGCAGGCCTTCCAATACAACGACAGCAGGGAACAACCTAACAGCTTCACACCACGCGACTCGCTGCCAACATGTACCGGGTAAGTATACCGGTGTGACAATCCACTCTCCAGCGCAAGTAACCCGGCCTCGAGCCAATTACGGCGCGCCACTTGCGATATCCCGTGCAGCAGTGCCGGTACGCTGCGCTGCGTCTCGCCTTTTTTTCTCGTCTAGACATGTTCATGGATCAAGGTGGTTGTGTTGCAGCGATCGATAGAAAAGTTGGAATTGCTTGATGGGGTAAGTGGGTGGGTTGGGTTAAGTTGAGCTGCGCAGGCATGGTGGCGTTGTATGCTCGGTGTGAGTGTAGTAGGACGTGAGGGCAAGAGAACTGGATGAACAAGATGGAAGAGGTGGAAAATTTCGAGCACGCGCTGGTTCAATGCACTTTGGAAGACTTTGGTACACGAATAGTGGGTTGACTGCTCTATTATCCTCTGGTTGATGCATTTTTTCTTCTTTTCACTAATGCAACAGCGGAAGGTACAGGATGTGGTTTAGAATTGTTTATCGTGCACTTGTTTACCATACTTCATACTCATATAGAACAATTGTCGCAAACATCTCTGAACCCCTACTGTCGCCTCGGATTTTTTTCCCTTGAACAGTCGAGTCATTATTTCTCCCTCTCCACTGTAACTGCCTGGTCTACATTGCACCTACTTCAGCTTTCATAGCGGAATCCCTTATGATCCGTAACCCTGAAAATTGGAGTAGTAACAGCTGAGTCGTTCCGCTCGATCTGCGGTTTGAAAGGGGTGGTTGGGATGGACGGACTAGACGGGTTGAAGAACAATAGTAAGACATGATGTGGCGTCCGATAAAAAGGTTTCTCGCTGTAAGCGAGCGATGATACTAGAGTTGTTAACAGGAGATCGCACATGAAAGCTTTGAGAAGACCGATAATCGAGAGGCAAATATGCTTAACATCTGAATTTCCAGTTAGGAACTTGAAGTGCATTGTTCGGGCGGTACTGTCCACCCATCTGCTTTCAGATGGCACAGGCGATAGGTGCCCCCATGAGCCGTCCAATATGCCAACAACACCAAGACCCATCAATACCCAATGTCACACGTCGTAACATCCTCTATGAAATGTTTTTCCCGGTAACTCCTCGTCCACCAAAGATACCACGGCACCACATTCATCTTGATCTTGTGGCCCAACCAAGGCGTATCTTGCACTGTCTTAACCACACTCTGACTCTCATCGAAAGCAGTATCGATTCTCGCGCGTCTCAAAGATTCATACGCGTCAAAAGCTTCCTTGACAGGTACGCCTTCGTCGCGTCTATCCTCCATCCACTTTGCCAAGCAGCGCGAGAATAAGACACCATCTTCGAAGACAATGCCTGTGGATTCGCCCTGCGGAGGCATAGCGTGTGCGGAATCGCCAATCAATATGACGCGGTCGGTAGCCCATTTACCCCCCTTTGAGAGGGTGAACACAGGCCAGAGATACAGACCCTCTGCATCCTCAATCCAATGTGCAATCTGCGAATTTGCAGCACCAGAGTAACGGTCCAGCATCTCGTTGCGGATCTTCTGCACATCAGCTCCTGCTGCTTTCCAGCCATTGCGGTCTGCAATCTCGGGGACTTGCATCAGTGCGCCCACGTAGATGCTTTCTTGTGCTTGGTCGTGGAAGGACGTCAACATCATGCC